TCAGTGTATGTAATAATAACTTTTGTATAATGTTTATACTAAGTATCTTTCTAAGTAGAAATATAAAACGTACTTTTATAAATAGTTTTCGTTTGTAAACTTAGATTTTTCAGTATTTTGTATATAAATATATATATTCATAAAAGTATTTATTATTAGCAAATATTATTAGTTACATAAAACTTCTTCTTTTTACAATGCTAGAATGTCTTATTATTCTATACTCGTATATATTTTACTATCATGTATGAAATAAATTTCAAATGCAAAACTTACCTGATCGTTTAAATAAACTCCGTAAAATGACAAAAACCCTTCTATAAACCAAGAATCAGAGTTTTTTAATGTAAGTAACCATTCACTGAACACTTCTTGCATCACACCGCGCACAACCAAAAGTGCTACTTCTTTTTTTTTTATAATCGAATTTACCTTTCTATTGTATGCAATACTAACCTCTCTAAAAGTACTATTGTTGTTACAACAATTCTGTCGTTTCCATTATATGTATTATTGTTTTAAGTTAATTTTACCTGAAGAGTACAAGTGCAGTAGTTACTATAGTTTCGTAATTGTTGGAGTTTATTGGAAGTACTATATACTGCACGTGTGAAAGTGATGTGCTATTTTCTATCTTGTTTTTAATAAATGTTACAATATTGTTTATAAGAAATACTGCGTACAAAATGTCGTTTTTCACTTGGAATCTGCTTTGTATAGTACATGTATTTAACACGTGGACATGTGTAGTACACTCCGAAGGTACGATTGCTGTTGCTATCAATTGAGTGGATATTTTAGGTGTCATACGAAATAAAGTATAAAGGTGATCGTATTGCACTATTTTTTCAACAGGCATATTTGATAGAACTGTTTGAGCGTGATCGTGTTTAATTTGAATTGTAAATTTAGCCTTGGTTGTGGGATTTGTCCAATACGGAAATATCCAGTCAGCGGGTATACGTGGCAAAATCAAATATCTACAAAATGAAAAAACGTAGATTGTATAACTACATTGGTATTTAAGTAATACCGTTTTATAGGTATTATTTTCTTATAAAACAAAAGACATACTTGCTGCAGTATCGTGTACTTACTTGTCTTTTGTTTCTTTTTCAAAGATCATTGCACTTTTGTCTAAAATCCAATTATACCTCACATTTATCCAGTATATTCCAGGTAGTATACTTATTATTCGTACATTTGTTGCAGGGGGTTTCCGATATTGTTTTATACGAATAATGTTAACGAATGAATTACTTGTTTCAGAAAATAGCACATATACTATCCATTCCAGTGAAGTATCATTAAAGACATTCTCGACCGTACCATAGTAGAAATCGGTCAAATAACGTCCGAAATATAATCGTATATCTTGCAGTACACATGAAACGTTCAGTTTGACACGAGAATCAACAGTGAGAGAATTGTTTTGTACGTTTGCAGAAATATTTATACGATATTCTATCGGATGGTAACACTGCGGTACTTGAGATAAATTCGCATCAGTTGATGAAGCAATTTCGGTTAGAAATAGGAAGCATGTAATTCCAAAGAATGTAAGCATATGCGTACTTTGAATCTGTAAAATGTATTTGTTTATTAAACAAACATTACATACGCAAATAAAAACGCAACACACACATTTAATATGCACAGAATAAATGATTGCTTTTTCAGATATACAGTCAAATTTCTCACAACGTATACAGTCGCGACAAGTCTCTCAAAACGTATACTTCCCATATTTCCTCACTCTTTATTTCGCGCATTTGCAAAGACTTACTTATTATACATTCATCTCGCGCTAGCGCAGTTTCGCTTGTAATCATACTTAGTGGTGAGAAAACCGATGAAGGAGAAAGTTTAAAAGTTTTGAGAGTGGATTTGTATACATTTTGGGAGTATACGTTTTGGTAGGTTCGACTGTAAATATGAAGAACAAATGTGTATGATTGTTATAGTGTATGGTTATCACTAGATAGCACTGTTGTTTTATATTTCTCATGTACGGATAGACATACTTTCACATATTAGGTGTCATGAATACGGTGTTTTTATGAACTTGACATGTAGAAAAAGAATTGAAGATTAAAAATTAGAAATTCTGGTGAACATTTTTAACAAGATAGTAGATATTTTAAGGAAAAAAATCATACTCGAAAAGTTTTTCTCCAATTTTCGAGCGCGTTTTAATTATTTAATATGTCACACATTGTAATTACGTCAATGTACAATTACAATTGTAGATCGTAATAATATTTATGTAATATTAATCTATGGAGCATTAACGAGTAGTAAGACTTGCACACTATTGATAAAATTAAGTAGATATGAATTTTTAACTAAATGAATAATAAGAATATATTTGGTCATGAGAGCCGATCGCAGGGTGTTTTGCGGAAATTATACGTGTATATATATATATATATATACGTGTTCACGTGTAAATTTTTAACACGTGAAATTCGAATTGTAATAACAATTCTAAAATTCATATAGGATGCTATATATTTGCATCTCGTATATGAGAGATCCCAAATACCCCCCCATTTGAAATTAAATTTATATTGCGAAAAAAACTCCTCGGCCAGGAGTCGAACCTGGAATCTCCGGNTTTCCGGGCCGTCGCCTTCCCTGTTAGGCCACCAAGGCACTTGGAGTTTGTCTCGCAATATTCTATACATCTATTGAAGATGTTCTGATACTGTAATACCGCCTATANTGACAGCGTTAATTTAACAATTAGTAGTAAACTGAGAATTTTTCTCGGGCTCTAAAAGTCTTTAACTAAATGAATAATAAGAATATATTTGGTCATGAGAGCCGATCGCAGGGTGTTTTGCGGAAATTATACGTGTATATATATATATATATACGTGTTCACGTGTAAATTTTTAACACGTGAAATTCGAATTGTAATAACAATTCTAAAATTCATATAGGATGCTATATATTTGCATCTCGTATATGAGAGATCCCAGCCTGTTCGAGAGATGATCGATAACTACAAGACAGTCGTTTTCGTGAAATAATAAATACATATCACAATGTAAACGTCTGTATTGAAGGAACCGACCTTCCTTAAGTTATATTACGTATACATATATATAGAAATATGAGTTTCAAAATATGTATTTTCAATGTTCAAAAGACATTCATATACATACTGCTTTCTTCAGAAAACATTTCAATACATATATGTTTTTCTGGAAAGATACAAGTGAAAGACTATACCAAAAATCTAACAAAATTCTCAAAAACTTATTTTTAAATGTGCCAATGTTGTGCACGGGAATATGTAAAAAACTTGTTGCGCAGGAAATTAGTAATAAAGGCGGAAGAAATACAAGTACACTCGAAACACATTAAGCGCAGTATCAGTTTCTGAGGACTGAGAGTGAACCTTTCGGTTAGACAGCGTCAGGCTCTGGGGTCTGCTAGGGAACTTTCTGCCATTTTCATACTTTGTAACCGAATACTCAGCGAATTGTCACCGCCGCGTCGTCACGCCGCTTGAACGGAAAACACAGCAAACTCGGCTCTTAACGTTAAAATATTTATTGAAAAATATTTATTGGAGAATATAGTTTTTGTAACTATTACGTATAGATTTTATACTTTTTGTTTCACGCAGAGACATGCCAGAACTTGCGTAGAATCACGCTTGACTCGAGCGTGGTGTTTTTCAGAAGACTTTCTGCAAGTAGTATGTTCTACAACATTGTCGATCCGGATATTTCATCAAAACAAAAGTGGTATAATTAGTATGTGTCGGTCGAAAATGCATTTAATGTTTTTCTTCACACTAGTGCGGTTTCTGTTAATAAAAACTGTCGCAACTATTTTTTAAAGGCAGATAACGAAAAGAAAAAATTTTTTTTTTGTTTTGCTTTTACTACTTATGTAAATAAAGCTCAATAGCATATTTATGGACACTCCTGTACATTGATAAGATGATCTATATCGAGTTTCACGTTATTTTGTCACGATCTTTGAACAAGACAAGTTAACTGATACTCAGTAAATTGAATGTTTTTATTTATTTCTCGCCACAGTTCCGTAACAAGTGAGTTTTGATGTATCATTAAATTGTTTTGAAAAAAACAAATGTAATATGTAAAAAATGCTTCTTTAAACAGCGTTCTGATATTCACTGCCAGTTCTAAAAATTTATACCACATGTAACGTAAAGTATAGCTTTTTAGTACTATACGCACGTATTCTCAAAATAATCACGGTTTCTTCTGAGCGATTGAGTGCAGACGCTGAAAACTTTAAACCTCTTCGTAAGAATGACATCTAATAAACACGCAAAACTTTCGTCATATAGTTTCTTTTACATTAGGAATACTTTATTTTACATAATCAAACCAAAGTACAAAACAGCAAATTAGTAGAAACAATTGTCAAAAACTGACAAATTTTATTTTACAAATACTGTTTTTATTATAAGTAATTCTATATTACATATGTTTTTTTACCTATATTAAATAAAACACATAATACCTTTTTTTAAAATACATTATAATAAAATTATCATTTGGTTGTTTTTAAATACATACAAAAATAAATTACACGTAACATTATTTTATCATACATACATAACTTTGATATAAATTTGCTTTTTCTATACCGTTTTTTTTCCACTTCATAGTTGTACATACCTGCATACTTGTTTTTATATAACGTGTGCTTTGTATTCGTTTGTGCGCAATTCATTCTAGTTAAATGTATACTTAATCGCTTTTGTGTGAAGATGATAGACAAAAACTTATGGTATATTTTTAGTATTTCAATTTATAAAAAAATTCTATTTTTTTTATGAACAAGTTGCAATTATAACATAAATAAAAATCTCTAAAATATATTTCCGTAATCTAATAATACGTAAAATATATTTGAAATAGACATTAACTATAATTTACAACAAATTTAAAGTTATAAATAAAATCGAATTTTTTATATAACAGTATCCAATTCTTATAATTAGCGTTGAACATGTACAAATAGTCTTTTTTAGTTAAATAAAAAAATAGCACACAAACATTAAAAACCACTTACTTTTTCATATTTTTGTAATCAAATAAGTCGTGGACTTTATTACGAATGTTATCTCGTGTTCTACTTACAAACCTACGGCGAGAATCAACCTTTTTTGCTATGATGTCGTTTATGAACAGTGCCTGAAAAAGATTACACCATATATATTTTTGATACTACATTGGATATATTTTGTATAAATATATTTTGTGAACTTTGTAACAATCTGTACACGAAATGAATTATATTTTGTATTATTTAAAATCAAAGTAACAGTTTTAAATAAAAATAATGTACAAAACAAAAACATTTTTATTCTTCTGTTTATAAAAAAAACTTTTATAAAAAAACTTTTACCATGTGTACATCATATACGCCGACCAGGTATTTTAAAAGCAGTACTACAGCCTTAGTAACCTAAAACCACAGTGTGATAATAATACTGAATGTAATAATATGTAAACCATTTATTATTATACATGATATTCTTTTATTATACTAAGTTTTATTATACTATATCAATTAGTAATATAATTAAAATACATTTAATTAAAATACGTGCGTGCATATAATAAAGTGTCCATAAAAAAGAGATATATTTTTTATTTACTGAGATATATTGAACAAAACATTATTAAATGAAATCTTATTTCAATACACACAACATACCTTTTCAATATCATCATCTAAATATACGTGATTAATACTAAAATTAACAACTGCAAGGAGACTCATCTTTCTTTTAAATGAAACACATAGAACAAATAATTGACACAAAATCTCTCTTAGTATATACAATATATAAAATCAATTTATATAAAATGAATAAATTACATATATAAATAATACATATAATAATATAATCTACGTAAAAATATAAGTATCATGTAGAATACATACACATGCAATATATTAGATAGTAGTAACCTAAATAAACATGTTTTTATAAAAAAATGTGTTTACCTTGGAAATCTATTTTGTATTTTGCTTAGTATAGTGTTCAGTGAAAAAAAATCCTTTACATGTCTTGCAACAGTATCGAAAAGAATGGAAACAGAATCACTTTCTTTAACTAAATTACGTCTTACAAGTAGTTCCACACGCAAAGTTTCTATAGTATAATGCAGGTCACGACAAAATAAACCTTGCACGTATTGATCTTTTTTCTCTTGTAACATGTACATGTCCTGTATTATTTTCCACTTCACATCCATCAGTATTTCTTTTATCACACCTTGGCAATATATCCATTTCTGCCAACTTGGCAACAATCTGCAAATATTTACAAGAAAATATACAATTTTACTCACACATTATTACTCGAACGGTTTTATATACTTTTCTTATGATATCGAAATAATGTTTCAACTTTAAAGTCACATTTGCTATTACGGTTTTTATAAGCGTAGAAACAAGGAGTTATTGACGATATATTTAAACAAATTGATACACAATTATTCGTGCTTGTACTGTACACATTTATATATTTTATAGAAATAAAAGTAATTATATTTACAGAATAATTCAGTCGCGAACTTGTTGTGTTATTACAATATCATAAGTTTGTATCAAGACTCAGGTTACAGTTACATAATATTATGTATAATCAGTAGTGTTAGAAAACTCACTTTGCTATTAAAGAAATAAATAAACGTACTTGTTTTGTACAGGATTTTTGAAATGCCAGTTCAATATATCAGTGAGATGTTCTTTGCACT